ATGAATTGAGTCACTGCGGTGCCTTTGACTCGGAGGTCTTAGAGTTTGAGTTCCGGCGGTTGCAGTATCTTCGACACTTGGTAGATAACTATTTCGAATTCAACTGCTCTCTCATATGGCGGACCAACAGTCTGGAGCTAATAGCTTGCCCTATCTGGGGCGGAACCTGCTAATGGGAGAAACCTGGAAGCGAAAGCCCCGGAAGCCGGCTTGTAGGTCGCGCCCCCATTTCCCGTGAAAGATCTCCCGAGGAACAACGCTGCCACCTTTCGGGATAAAACATGCACTCCACTTGCGAGGCTAATGTCCGTAGCAGTTGACCGGCTTAAGTGGCTCAGGGTATAAATTGCTGTCACACCAGTGCCTCTGTCGGGTGGTCCTAGGGGTTGGAGCCCTGACGGTGGCAGGATTATCGACACTAGCTACATAGCTAGGTCGAAATCCGCCGCTCTCCGAAGAGAGTTCTAGCGGCTGGCTGCTCTGATTGTTAGTTTTTCCGTGGTTTCTCTGATCAACACTAGGCGAATGCCGGAGCAGTACCCTAACAATAGGGTCATGGACCGCGCGCGCTCTTTCCTTCCTCTTCCTTACCCTACCCGCACCCCTTACTTTCACAATTTGTACTTACTTCCACTGCACTATACCGCAATTTATTCAACTCTGCGCCCTGGTAGGTATAGGCTGTTTTATCCAATTGGAAGCTGATATCTGCCAGGGGCAGAGTTGGATAAATTGCAGTACAGGACACATGGTGGAAGACTAGTCGGGAGCATAGAGCTTGTCCCGGCAGGGGTGCCCAGCTAGTGGGAGATTCCTGGTGTGGGAAAACCCTGCAAGTCGACGGGTAGGTCGTCGCCGGATCTCACCATCCACCGGGGGAAGATTACCTTCTCTTCCCGAGGGTTAATAACTTTAGCAGTTGTCGCGCCCGGAATACTCAATCAATTAACCATAACAGTCGTCGCGCCCGGAAACACGAAATAATCGATCATTTAACCCAAACAGATATTTTTCCAATGCCGCCTTTATAAGTTCGGCCCAACAACACATAGCTATCATCTTCCAACGTCTCGTCGTATCTTAGCGGCCTATTGACTTCTTTCTCTATCGCATTTCCGCTATTATTTTCTGCCTTTACCATATCACCTGGTTTACGTCTTCCCAAACTAAAGCATCATCTTTAAAACTTCTCTTGATATTCTTCCACATTCTTTGTTTACACCCTCATATCTCCAACCCTACAGCAAAATACTCCTTACCAGGTATTGGAACATCATTGCCCTATCCCACCACGCAGAAATCTAGTTCCTGTCCCCCATACCTCTTTCATCACGAAACCTTTCACTAAACCTTTCCATACGTTGTCTTTCATCTAAGTTTACGGTCGTAAAAGAAGGGGTAGGTGGGTTATCGGGGATGGGCGGGGATTATGTGTCACACATAATTCCTTCAGATTATAAGCTTTTGAACTCGAACTTAGATTTTTGCAATTTTTTCAATTTTTTTGATAGCTGCGAATTTTCTCTTTAATTTTTCCCCTCAAATAGAGGAAAGAGCATTTATAAATACAGTATAGTTCTAATTTTTACTAAAAGGAAATACATTTTTTAAAATGAAAAAGTTAGAATACCTTTCCAACATGTTCTGCACCTCTAATGTTAAAGCCACGAAGTTGACATGTACAATTTATAAAAAATATAAGTGGTTAGTTTTACACAAATCAAACCATCTCCCCAAATATTTGTAAACAAGAATTTCTTAAAAACGGCTCGTATTTTAAGCATCTCATCATTCTACTTATTTACGTAATAAGGAGAAAATATTGCTACAGGGCTAAGTGGTGATCTTTTTCTCAGATAAACGCATATTGGGGGGTGCAGATATCAAAAGAAGATAAATTCTGATTCGTAGTAAATTACTACTAACACATTGTGTATTCAGAATCAATGTCTTGTAAATCATTGATACCAAAAAAATGTTTGACGCCAAAACGTGTCTACGTGTCTCTGCCCTTCCGTTCGTTCGTCCATTTGTGAATGGTCAACGCTTGAGTCTACAATATTTAGCCAATATTCATCAAAATTCATATTTCCCAATCGATTTAAAAAGGAAACTCAGGTCCTGCGGGTTTGAAACATATTCTATTATTTGAGGGAACCTTTCATGAAGCTTCCAATTTGGGACCCAATGGCTTCAAATATTTTGAATACAGTTTTTTCTTCGGATTAAGGAAAGCACACGTAAAAAATAGGTAGGTCTCATTTTTCTTGAACCCACTTAATTTGCGAAAATTGGAATTTTTTTTTCAGGTCTAAATACAACTACTATTATGAAAGATAGATTTTTCCTTAATATCATCTGTTGTCTTAAATAAGATCACTAAGTTTTACAGAAAAATGAGCTCTTTTCGCCACATTATATGTGAATAAAGCAGTTTTAAAACAATTACTTTTTTAAATCGACTCGACTAAATCGACGTATGTGGTATTTTAGCCCATTATTTTCGTTTAATCGTCTTATGAGCATAGAAAACAATGAATTGGATTTATATTTTCATCACATTTCATTAAAATACAGGTTTATTATTCATTACAATATCCAAATTATGCATTTTATAACACCCGCAAGAGGAAAAGTTTCGGTATGCAGACCTAGGTTAAAATGTTTGCTACGTTTTTGATGTAGGGCTGTTAGACTTGTGGTCTTCAAAATGAAGCTAATTTTATGTGATTCGTTGTATTATGTCCCAATATCTAAAAGAATAAAAGGAAATTTGACAAGTTTTTGAGAATATCCTCATGTCATATGTATGGAAAATTGACATATTTAATTTCATTTAATTCCAAATTATTAATCCCAAAATCATTATTATTTTGAAAATATGTACGCGACATCACTGGAAGTCCTATATGTGAAGAATTTATTTCCTTTGGAATTAGATATCTATCTTCAACAAAGAATACAAAATTGAGATTGAACGAATTGTAGTTTTTATTGTAATTAAAAATAAAATTGCGGAGATTTGAATGAAATTTGGAAAAAATATGTTTAACCCTGTTTTGCTTTTCGACAAGATATTTCGAGAATAATCTGTAGTTGCTTCGGAGAAAATTTGAAAAATGTCAAAAAAAAGTCATAAAATGTAGTCTCAAAGATTACAAGATACGATTCACATTTGCGCAAGGCCTCATGTTGACACATTTACTTTACATTACGTGCATATTTTGGTTTTCTTTTGAAAATTCTGAAACAAAATTTAAACATACCACGGCAGATAATTTTTAAAAATTTACTTAATTTGGTTTTTTTGTCTACCGCTTCCTGAATTGTATCCGTCGCCTCTCATCTGCATTCTCATCAAGAACACTTCCGGGTGTTTTGCGTTCATCTATCCAGGTGTGGTATTGCGTGTGTCAGAAACTGATGATCTAATTCAAGGGTTTCCAACGGAGTCCGTATAGACTCCGTGGATGGATGGAAATTTTGAAAGGGTCAATAATGATGAAGGGGTCGATTGGGTGTCAGTAGTTGAATATAAGCCGGCACTTTTTCAGTGTAACCAATATCCCATTGATTACAAAAAAATGTATGAGCTTAATTGTTTTCTTATGTAAAACAACAAAACGTATTATAATAAATTACAAATTCGCTCTTCTTAAGTATCCGTCTTTCATCTTTAGGAATTAAGGAATTATGATGTTTAGCAAAGTAAAGAAATTATAACTATGCGTTGACAACGATACCATTTCGCACAAGAAAGTACTTTCCAATACCCACCGCAAAATATTATGGCCCTTTCCTGAAACAATTTAACATTTTGTAACCATTGCATTTCAGTGGAGATTAGAAACTACTAAAAAGTGGAAAATGAAAAATCTAGATATTTACTAGAATATTGGGATATTATATTTAAGGCATTTATGTGCATTTTTTGAGTCATGATTATGGATATTGTAAAAAAAAACAAACAAGGGGGCTATGAAGCAAACATTTCCTTAAAAGAGATTGATAAAAAAAGGTTGGGAATCCCTGATAAAATTGTCTCGACAATGGTAATAGTTCTCTAAATCAGGGGTGTCCAAGGGTGTCCTCAAGGGTCACAACTAAAACCTTCAATATGGTTGCGGGTCATACTTTCATATTTCGGTGATCCACACGTAACCCTGTATTGTTGATCTCATTTGCCTGGCTGTTCTGAAACGGGGGAGGAGGGAAATGGAACCATGCCGTACTATGCATGAAGCAGTGAAACATATTGGGGTGATTTCGAATTTTTAAATTTACTAGAAAAAAATCCTTATATCTAAACTCAACCTATTTTTACATTAAGGAGGTGTTGATCTCTACAAGGCGCGTGATCTAGGCAAACAATATTCTCGCCTGACGTGCATGCAAGGTCCATTCACATTTGACCAATAATCTTCCGCGAGCCAGAATAAAAAGCACCATAGGCCTCATGCGGTCGGCCAGTGGGAGAATCCTGGTAATGTATGTGGGGAAAAAAGTGGAAGGAAAAAAATAATTCTTATTTTATGATTTCTGTTTTCTGTTACGTTTATGAGAAATGGACTAATAAGAAAATAAACAAAACATTTTATTTACATTTATTTTACATATCAGTTAATTACTTTTTTTCAAGTCATCCGACTATCAAACGAAAAAATAACTTAGCAATGGCGAAAATCACAAAATAGCAGCTGCGTCGGACTTGGCCAGTGTAGGTTAATTGGTTGAGTGACACGATAAAAAGTTATTCATCATTATCATAGGAAATTTTCCATGTGAAGTGATGGCACAAAGTCGTTCCGACATTACATCTTAGCAACGCTGTACAAGCAGCGGACAGCTCAGTTCTCAGATTCTTTCTTCATAAGCAGGTCTTCTCAACTGTTGCCACTTTTGCAATGCACATCCAACTCTTCACACGTCTTCCCATTAAACACATGACATACATGTCGGTGATCATTACTCTCAAATTCATTATAACAAGTATTTCTCAGAGGGGACGTGAACTGGTTCTCTCGGCGGGATTCTGCACCGAGCCTCGAGGGCTGAGACAGGAGAACTGCATCCCATTCAAGCGTCATTTTTATATTGCTGCAATTTTTATCGTGTTGGCAAGAGAAGTAATGTAAAGTGAAGAGGGTAGAATGCAGTAGAAAAGGGGTTCAGGCTTCGAATCTAACTCTCGGACAAGTCTTGAGAGAGGAGAAAGCATTGAAAAATATAACGGTTTTCCTCACTCGGACGTTATACATTTGAATTGAGATTTCCGTATCGGGGTAAGCGTTGGTAATAAACGAAAATGTTAGAAATTAAATAAAATAAGTTGGTTGAAGAAAAAATGTGGTAACATATTTCCATATTGTAAATCAGGTTTGGAAGAGATTTTGCTATACTTTCTGGATACTGTGTGAACCACGAAGTACAATCATTATTTTAAATGAGACAAGAATCAAACTCTTCGTTCTTCTAAACATATCAATTTTTCGACATTATCAGTCTAATTACATATCATTCAGTAATTGAAAAATGTTTTGTTACATATTTTCGTGTTATTTTGACAATGTTGAAGTGTCTTTTTAAAGATACTCTTTCTTCTCTTTGTTATTCAGACTTTCACTTGCATTACCCAAGGAAATCGTGGTGATAAAAATTTCTTCAAGTGTGAACTTTCTTTTTGGAAACTATGCAGAGAAACGTAGGTTCTATGGATTCTCTCGGACGATAAATAGAATGCACTGAACGGTTAAGGTAAGTTTTTTTAGTAAAATAAACACATACAACTTTGTTAAATATTAATGTTATTTTTATTTTTTTTGTATCGAGCTTCGTTTTGCATGAATATTACTATCCAGAAAGTTTTCTTCGAATACTTTGTTCGAAAAATGCCACATCAAAAAAATTGAATTTTAGGTGTATCATAATTGCAAAATGAAATTTGTTCACCAAAATTTTGTTCGTAGCCTTTTCATTATCATTTCATCATCCATCATGATATCGGGAGTGCTTTCTTAGTTCTTTCTTTCACTGGACCTCATCATCTCTCTTCCTCTCGTATCCCCCCTCTCTCACACTTGCGACTCGCTGCTACGTATGAAATCGCCCCCGAGTGCCTGTCGCCTGCCTCCATTACCTTGCTCGGACCTGTTCCTGGCGGTCGCAATTTTTACATCCGCACTCGAGGGAGTGACGGAAGGAAAGAAGGGTGGGGTGAAAAGGAGGATGACCAGACTTCGATGCCAAGCCATTGAACTGGTCAGCGGTGAAAGTCTCGATCCATAACGGTCACTCGCACATGTTCACACATTTCTTGGGTGACGAGGAGAGCGAGTTTATTTCTTTTATATCCTGCAACCGGTACACTATCGTCGCTCCAGGGTTCTTAGAAATTGTTTTAATGTCGCAATTTCTGCTGTGTACGAAGAGGGAAAATGAAATGTAGAAAAATGAGAAAGACTAGGGTGGGATAAGCGGTGGAGAAATGTAGGGGTTCGGAGTTCGAAGCCAGAACGTACTGTTAGTCGGATGGCGATGGTAAGTTGGGGTGGTCGCTTACCGGAGTTTGTGTGGTACACGATAGTGTGGTTGATTCCAGACACCGTACCTTCATTAGTGTCTTGAGGAACGAGAAACAACAGGATGTCTTCGTAGGTGAGATATTACGGTGCCGTTAATTTGGGAATTAATTGTAAGATTTCTAAATGTATTTCGCTTTCGTCCATTTCCAAATGAAAAAAAAGGGTCCCAAATTCCAAGAGAGGAAAGAAAGCAAGGGATCACGCTCGTTTTCAAATATTCAAAATGCTGAATATATAGAGTTCTTCATATTCACACATTTCTATGTAAAATAGTATCAAATAAAAACTGTTGATACATTTCAAATGTACTGTTTACTGTATTGAAATTGGTTCAATATATTTTTTTTCGATTTTTTCTACGTTTGCAAGAATTTTATACAAGAATGTATACGGTAAATCAAAGTTAATACACACATTCTTTATTTTTTTAAATTGTATTTTGCAATTTAAGCAGTATTTTGAAATTTATGAATCAAATTTAGTCTTTTAACTTCGCTGCTGGGAAATTGTACCTGTAATGTTTTCTCATTAGATTTTATATGACAAAATATTGTATACTAGTTTAGCTAGACGACTTGCGAGTTACAAACACAGCAAATTTTGTCGCACTTATGTAAGATAATTCATAACGAAAAACGCAAGAAATTTGTTAGAAATTTTGCTATGTTCTAAACTGCAGCTTTGGTATCATACATCCATTGTCGAGCAAGCTTATACAATTTTTGATCTCGAATTCTGAACTGTTTAATCAGATCACTGAGTTTGTGATGGTTCCAAAAAACTATAGCTCTTACAATTATTCCATTATTTGCTTTAGCTTGATGTCTTGGAAACGTTTCATTTACGTACATGTCCACAATTTGCTAGATACATCTCTTGTCGCAAGAGAGAGTACCCCAGCTTCACGGATTTCCGGCAACTGCGCTAACGAACGCCGGGTGGAAGTGTTCGGGGGCCATCGCGGCGCCCTCCATCTTGAGCGCTTCCCTTCAAAGACGAGGACGGACAAGCCTCCTTCTTTCGCGGAGCCTCGCGCAGAGCCGCGCCGGGGCATGGCCGTCGCGCTGGGGTTGTTTGAATCAAGATTGATGAATCGCGCATTCTGGAGAGGCCCGGGCTTGCCGTTCCTCTGTCGCAATTTGTCTTGTCGAGTCGCGCGCGTTGTCTTCAGGGGTTGCACCATTTTTGTGCCTGCGCGCCGCCTCTGGTCGTGCGATTTTTGCGTCGCGAAGAAGCCCTCCTCACCCCCACCAACCACCCACCCCGCGCAGCGTTGGGGGGGAAACGTGCGGCGGGCGTGGGCGTCTGCGCGTGCCGGCGGGAAGGGAAGGGCAGAGGCGCGCCGGGAGACGCTCCGACGCTGCCGCGCTGAGTCGGCAGCGCCATTAATATGAAAATGTCATTACGGAAAATCTTGCGCTCTCTTCTTACGGGCGTTCCCTCCACGCATTTCTGCCGCCCCGCATCTTTTCCTCAGGCTCCACGCAGGCCGCTTCCCCTTGGGACGCTCCTGCGATCCTCTCCCCCGTACGCGGCCTGCGCCGTCTCCGACTCCGGGCTTGCCACCGCCGCCTCGCCGCTCCGTCGCCGCCTGCGCCTACCTCAGCAGGAGCTGCCATCTTTGCCTTTCTTCTTCCCATACCGCTCCTCCCTCTAAGCCATTTACTTCGCACCATTTTTTCGCAACGTCACAACTTTGCCTGTGACACGTACTCTCACACTCTACTCGTGCCCTTCTCATTCGCCTCTGCTTTCATCCTGTTTTCCTTTCCGCGCAACATTCACTTTCTTTTACGAATATTCCGCCTGGCCTAATTCTTCTCTTTGAATTTTTTCTATACCCCGTTGTCTGCTATAATATCTACGCTGTATTCTCATTTCTATGCCTCTATGCAGTTTTCGTGATAATGTTCATCCATGCAGTTAGCATCGGTTACGACTTTACGACTTTCACCATTACTATTATCACCTCTCTTTCATCTTCAGCTTCTCTTCTGCAACCTCACCGCTCTTATTCCTTCGGCTGAGGACGGATTTTCTGTTCCCTTTGCAAACACTGCGGTCCTCCTGACGCCAGCGCTATACCCGCCACCACATCTTCACCCTTCCTTTCGTCCTCCTTCTGGCGCCGTCTACTTGCATCGTCGCCCCCCGCCACCTCCTTCGCTGCTGCTGCAACTTCTCCTTCTGATATCCCGCCGTATATTAATACTTATTGCACCCCTTTTTCTTCGTCCCCCTTATTATCATGGTTTTTCCCGAGTGTAACATTTTGTGAGTGAAGATATTTTAGGAGGAAAAGCGTATCTGGCCATAATTCTTCCCGCTAATGATCATTATATGCAAAGTGTCTTCTTTATGTAGGGGGCTAGAGGTACCGTGGGTGCTCTGGCTGTTACGAGGCGGGTGGGGGAGGGGAGGAAAGAGGCGGAGAGCGGAGGGGGAGGGGTGCTGCGGAGGAAGCGGGGGCGGAGAAGGCGGAGGAACAGGAACGTAGCAGCGGCGGGCGGCGGGCGATCCGCTAGAACGAGCTTCCACCTTAGGCCCCGTTGCAAATGATGATTAATTCTAAAACGCCAGAGCTGCACAGTTTCTTACTTCGTAATAGATTTTCAGAAATAATTAATCAGACAAAACAAAATGAGGAGATGCACGTAATAATGAAAGCTATAACCTGAAATGCGGCCTGATGCTCTCCCAAATTTTCCATAAACAAAAGGGTGTAGTAAGTTCCAAACTGGAAAGCTCATTCGATGTTGTGGGTGGCTGTTCCGTTGTTTGCGGATGCAGAAGAAGCCTCATGTCGCTTTAGAACCCTGCGTATGCGTTCTGCTCCCTTAAAGAAGTGCTGCCGTAAGATACCTGTGTCTACTGACGAACGACGGCTGATGGTAATGTTAATTGGAATTTATGGCAGGAATTTCCATTTTAGATTGTTGAAACACATTGTTTAAAAATTAATATTTCTTACTACCAAACTTTGGTGGATTTGGAACTTTTGATGCCACTTCTTCACATTTTTTCAGACATTGTGTATAATTGTAGGTTTTCTCATCTCCTTTGTTATACTTTATTTTAAGAACATTTACCGAACATTTTCACACGTTAAATGTTTATTTCGTTTCGTTAGCCGTATACAGTGTTCATTGAAGAACTACTTGAATTTCGGACGAAAACCCAGATATCATATACTATACAAGAGAATACGTTAATAACTACTTGCATCTATGCAATATTGTACATAAAACTGATATTATCTGAACAGGTTTGCAAAGAAATGCCGGACTTTCTGCTTGTCTAATAATTTAACGAATTCTTCGGTTTAGTATTGGATAATTACTAATAATACAATTTTTATGAGAAATTTCACAGTACGCAACCTTCGGTTGTTCAATATGCTCTTCGTAAATTGATTGCTTCCACCTGATGATGGGGCCATATTGTGTAGACAATCTCGTTTGGTTTCGTTTTCTACTAATTTGTGTAATTGTACTTAACAGGCCTCAGACTGTTAAATCCTGAACAGACGGCGGTCGTGAAGAATGTTTAT